TTTTGTCTCTTGTACTCTTTTCTTTTCTTTTTTTTTCTATTTCGCCCTTGTGTGAATTTTTTGACTCGTGATAATTGATTTCCCCAATAAATTGTCTAATTATTAAAAAATAAATGTTTTAACTCCACCAGTGTAAATTTATAGACTATTTGAAACCTAAATAAGAAAGTAGGGTAAGCTACGTAGACGGTCAACGCAATCTTTTTAATCACTTATGATGAATTCTTTAGTCAACCCTAGTTAATTTAAGATCGATGGGGTTCGAGTTGATCGATTGTTTGATTAGAAATTTTTTTTGAAGTAAATAAGTGTAATTTCTTGCTACAACATTCATGATTAGTTGAGGCGGCTATATCTGGCCTTGATGCAAGAAACTGTAGAAGTAGAACAATTCATAAGATGATCAATAATAGTACAATACTTACCAGAAAGAGCAACCATATCAGTAACAGAAAGGCCCTGAGATATAAACTTAGAAATAATAGAAATAAGCCCTTCATCAGCTGTTGGAAGATTTGTATCAGTTATGGCATTCTTGAGTCTTTTCTACCTAATGGAACATCCCAATATGGTCCACCAACCTGCGACCAACATACACATTATTTATTCACCACTTAAGCTTAGTCCTAGTGACAAGAGTGGGTTGCTCTAGTGGTAAGCATCATCCACTTCCAACCAAGAGGTTATGAGTTCGAATCACCCCAAGAGCAAGATGGAGAGTTCTTCGAGGGAGGGAGCCGAGGGTCTATCGGAAACAGCCACTCTACCTCAGGGTAGAGGTAAGGTCTACGTACACACTATCCTCCCCAGACTCCACTAGTGAGATTATACTGGGTTGTTGTTGTTGTTAAGCTTAGTCCTATAATAATCCTAAACAAATATAACTTCTATACATAGAGAGTATTTCGTATTTTTGCACCATCTGATTAAGTTAACCTACAATCAGTGACGGAACCTGAATTTTCATTAAGGGGTGTCAAAATATATAAAAGTAAATATACCAAAAAGTTAAGGGGAGTCGATACATAATATATATACATATAAAATTTTCTTTTACCTACCTACATAATTTATTTTTTCCGCGAAGGGGTGTCGTTTGACACCTCTTCCTTCCTATAAGGTGGCTCCGCCACTGCCTACAACAGCGACAAGTAATATTTATAACAAAACCTGATACATTAATATATTATTGGCAGTTAAATTGCACTGACAGTAAAATGCTTAAAATAGTGACTAAACGATTCCTTGTGAAGTCACCGTATCATCCACCAATACCGAGCCGTCGCAACCCTGAAAAATAAAAATTAAGCTCTCTTTTTTTCCAGCAACTTCAACTGGTATTTGTAATTACAAGCAGAAATAAAACTGTTTTACCAAAGAAATTAGCACAGTTGGAAATGTCGATTATTACTCCCTCCAGTTTCAAAACTTATTTATTTCGGTATTTGTGGGGGAAAAAATGACGATTTAAATGAGTTTAAGTTTTATGTATTGACGAAATAAAAAATAATTACACAATCAGCTAACTACAAGGATGTCCCTTGATAAATATCACTAATTGGTAATTGGTAAAAATAGCAAGTTACCTGGCATTATAGATTAAAATTCGTTGATAGTGTAAAAACTTATTACTTCCTCCGTTTATTTTTACTTGTCCACTATTAACTTTGCACAGCTCTTAAGAAATAATAAATAAAGTGAATAAATTTATCATGATACTCATATTAATTGGTGTATAGTCTTAATGAATTTGAAAAATAATTGGGAATGAGTAATTAATGCCAAGGGCAAAACAGGAAAAATAAATTATTTTTCTCTTGATATGCGAAAAGTGACAAGTAAAAATGAAAACTTATTTTTAGAATACTTGACAACTAAAAGCGAACGGAGGGAGTACATAGTAAGAGTGTGTAACTTAAATAATTTAGAAAAACAAGAAGCATTTATTGAATTTTTTCCCCCAAATTTACTGTTACTGCTATAATTAATTGAATGTTAATTAAGTGAGACATTTAAGAGCGATAAAAGACAGTTAGATAAATACTCTTATGATTAAGTATAGTAAATATTTTTAGGGGTGTGCAAAATCCTTAAAAACGGATAATATGGACTGGATATAGCATCTTTTTACCTGAACAAAGCAGTCATGGAAATGTAATCTCAAAATCAAAGCAGCATTACGAGGATCAGAAAGACAGGCACATTCCATTTCTTTCCTCACAATTTCAAGCACAAAAGGACAAGTTGATTTGTAGTAATCCGAATTAAGTGTGGATCACTAATTCTAAGCAATCTGCTACTCCTTCCGTTCACTTTTACTTGGCACGTTTTGACTTTTTACGCCCCTTAAAAAATAATAAATGAAGTGCATAATTTACCATGATACTTATATTAATTGATGCATATTTTATTGAATTTGAGAAAAGGATTTGAAATGAGTAACAAATATTGTGGGTATAACATGAAAAAAAAATTGTCTTCTCTTAATATGCGTAAAGTGACAAGTAAAAATGAAAATTTATTTTTAATATGTATTCCAAGTAAAAGTGAACGGATGGAGTAATAAAGAATATGCCAGGTACCAAAACCACGCATTCCAATTTCAGAATTCTCGAGTTAATAGAATAATTAGAAGCCATTTCTTTTAGCTAATTTCTTGCTTTGCTAGTGCTTTCTGAGGCTAGTTTGTCGTAAAGAAAAAGATTAAAAAACAAAGATGATTAAGACTGTGAGTTATATAGTAGAGAAGACAGAAGTTATTATCTTAAGAATTTGGAGAATTGGACGTCATTTTCCTAGTCACATGTCTGGTTAATTCCTATGTGATTTTAGTATAACTTGTAAGAATGCAAGTCGTCAAGAGAAGATGTAACTAATATTTGAGTGGTTGGGAATGTCTCAAACCAAAATTTCCAAATTAAATGAAATTTAAATCAAAGGCTTGTTGTGGCTTTTCCTGAAAGAGTTTTATACGCATAGTTTTGGCAAGCGACCAAACCCATTGTCTTTTCTAATAACAAGCCAATGTTTGATCCCTTCAACTTTTGCTGAGAATTCATTTACGAATGTTAAACTTTTTAATAAAGACCAAATATGGAAATAAAAAATTTCTTGGACTAGGGGATGCACTTTTAGGGAATTTCTTTGGTTACTTTTAATTTTCTTATTATTTTTTCAATGAGAAACTTTTTTTAGTTTGATCTGTCACAATCTAAGGTTTGAGACTAACCCGTCGCCATCCCGACACCCAAACTTTTTCCATTCCCCCGGTGCAAAGGGCAGACTTAGGACATGTGCTCTAGTGTTTAACTGAAATCAATACTTTTAACTCGAGCTATATATATATANAAGGCTCTCCAATATGGTTCATGTGGGATCCCACGTCTGAAGTGTGTCTTGAAAGGTGTTCTAATGATGCTTCAATATTGTAAGTACTAATTAATTAATGTTACTTCTTAGTTTTTCTTGGGCTAATTGACTAGGAAATGAAAACATCTTATTAAGGATATTATAGTTCCCAACTCCTTTAATAACATTTAAGTTATTTATTTGATGATTCAATCCCTATAACAAGATGAGATAATCAATCACTTAACATAGGGTGTTTGAACAAAAAAAAAAATATTTTCCTGATCTGGTTTGTGTTGGTAAAAAGATATATATATTTAATCTGTTTTAATTGTTTCTTTCTTGGGTTCTAGTTTGTACCATCTAATTCAATATTTTTGGCTAAATGACTCGCTTGTCCTGATTCGAAGCTAAAAGACTTCCAACTCTGTTATTTGGCATGTGAGCTTGATCAACTTAGATATTGCAATTTCTTCAAGGGTAATAAAAGATCAATTAACACGTTATTCTTTATGGGTTTCCTTTACGGACAAGAATACTTGTTTTCCTCACAATTTGCCAGATTTTCATTCTCTAGAAATTATGAGAAAGATCATTTAGTCATACAGTCAAAATCTTGAATCATAAGATAAAAATTAATTATTCCCAAAATCCATCGATGCACCAAAAATTTTGTGGGTTGGAGAATGTAGATATTTGTTTGACTCTGAATATGAAATTTAAGATTCAACATTTGATTTGTGTATTATATTAGAAAAGAAACTATTAAAAGTAATAATTGAACAATTATCTTATGTTGGACAATATTTATTGGGAAAGATGGTTGATAAAAAGAAGAAAATGAATCAAAGAAATATGAAAACTCAGAAGGCTTTGATGCGGAAAATTATAGCTTTCTTTAGAGAACTATTTGCCCTCATCCAAAGTTTGCTAAAAGGTTGAGAATTTTGCAACTAGAAAAATTTAAGTATTCCCTAAAATTGTCATTCTGAGTTTAAGAATTCAATATTTTAAATCTAAAGTAATTTACTGTAATATCTGGGAGAGTGCCATTTGCTTTGGCTACAGGATGCATAAAAGGTCATCTTACAATTGATTAGGTCAAAATGAGAACTAGCCTCCTCCCCAATCTGCTCGTAGAAGTGAATCCAAAATTTAAAGTTATTGAGTTCTGAATGAGAAATGCTCTCTTTATATGTATACATTCTTTTTTTTTCTTTTTCATGTATACACAATCTGAGCTGAAAGTAATGAGTTAAGTTGAACCCCGAAAACATGTCCTACATGTGTCTCTAGTCTCCTCGGAGATTATGGACGGGAGATTGAGTTGGCTCAAGATATGAAATGGTTTCATTTTGTTTTCTTCTGTTTCCTCATGTATTAATTTCATTCAACGCTTCTCTGTACCCGTGCTTGTAGGAAAATCCAAGTATCCATTAGAAAATGCGAGGTGTGGTGGAAGAATGCAAGTATTCTGTGAAATAACCGAGGTGCACAAAAGTTGATCGAAAAAATAACATTTTCAAATAAAATTAATATAAATGACGAAAATGGGAATTGCACATCCAAATTTAGCTAAAATCATTAAGAACAAAATTTGACATCTTCATGGATAACTGGAAACTACTGTCGAAAGTCAATATGAAATCAGGTAGAAAAAACTTTACAAAATACAAGTTAAATAACAAATATATGGTATGTGGACTATACAGAAACAAGAGCGGATTTCTTAAATGAGTGAATGATGATTCTGTTTTAGATACAGCAGGAACTTCTTTAATATTTTTTTTCCAGCAGGGAGGAACATGAATAATTTATGTGAGCCTATTCTGTAGGTAAAGAAGCTTGAATAAAAACACATAAATGCAGATGACTATTCTTTACATTATCGTCTTTCCATTAGCATCCAAATCTATGAAGATCTATCAAGTACCTTCACAGAGGAGATAAAAAACTTCTTGCATGGTCAATGTTCATGGCCATCTTCCTCTTCAGAATCTGCATAAAATAGAACATGATGAACGACCAATAAGATATTAAATTTAAAACAGGAGCTATAACATATGGAAGCAAATATAGCTATACATTAGAAGCTATATGACGCTATTGACAAAATCCAAGTTATCGTATGTCAATTAACACAGTGATAGAGAGCGTCTTAGATCACATCGTATATGTTTCAACAATTTAAACCAAGTAATTTCTCTAATGTGAGCAGATTAATATGCTAAAGCACATTTATCAACATGGTTAGGATTAATTGATTAATTTAGTTAACAAACAAAGGATTCAGCTCTGGTTGCCATGACGGAAACCATTCAAACAGAAGTCAGTAAGATTGTCAATCCTTTTTTCCCCTCCAAAGAGAAACTTGGTGATTGAAGCGTGCAATAATCACAATCGTATTCCATAACAACCTTATGGGTGGCATTGAACTTAGATAAGTAGTAACTGTTTCTATCCCTTAAAGAGCAATGGAGTGAATACATTAGGAAAAGGCATTACTCTACACAGGCAATTTTATCATACAAGCTGTAAAATTAGACTTCAAACATATGATGCTTCATTTCATAACAACTGAAATTGCCACCATAGATGTCATATCAAGATGTTAGACAAGATAAGCATGTCGCTTTTTTAGCTTACCAGATCTAACATCCTCACTTAGTTGGCCCCTAGACTGGATTTGTTTAACAAGCATCCGGTATATCAACACCCACCAATATATATGAAGAACCAGCAAGCAGTATAGAAGTGAATTGAATACGTAGTAGTAGATCGGTCCTTCAACTTTGTGCTTCTCCTTATCCAAGGTCTGGATAACTTCGTAACTGTGTAGAGAAAACAAAAACAAGAAAAATAAAAAAGGATTTCCAAAAAATTCTCATAAACAACTTTTTCTCGTAAGTGAAGTCTCCAAAAAGAATAATAAAGGCTACAATGCAATCGTTAAGAGAGAGGACTTCCATTAGGAAAACAAAATGCCTGTTAATTCTCAGCATAATTCGCTCAACAACACCCACATGACAAGGACATGGAAAGTGAATTAGAGAAAATAGTTGATGTATAGAAGCAAACACAAGTATCTTTACTGGAGCTATTTGTTTCTTATCAACAAGACAATGTACATTTTAACTTTATTCTATGAGGACTACATGACACTGTGCTTCTAGACAGTGAAAGAAGGTTGATGAAGAAATGAAGGATATGATACGCAGCAAAGCAGTATTTCAATAACCATTCTGGATCCACCAAAGACTAGACCAATCCTAGGTCAAACTTCCCAACAATTATTAGCGAAAAGTATATTTTCATTTACGATCAGTTTTGTCCCCTTTCACCTACTGAATGCCTTACTGTTATCATCAAATACTCACCTTGTACTCCAAAGAACCCAGAAAGGGAAGTATGTGAGGCGAAGTACAATCCAAGACAAAGCAAAAAGGACAAATGAAAAACTGGCAAGACCTTCAGCACCACTGTATTTGGACATTTTCCCTATTTCCAGGAATATATCACTGGCATCATGAAGCGCTAAAACAACTGAGCCAACTCTTGCAAACCTGCACAAAGGTGAAAAAAGCTAATAGAACTCCAGGCTCATTGTTACCTCTAGGGAATTGCAATAAGTCTTAAATTACTTAGGTTGCACTTTCTAATTGAATTATTCAACTAAGGCATGCTACAGGTTCCTGGGAAGTTCCTACAGCTTAGATAACATCACTAAATTGTTGTCGAAAGAATTATTTAAACTTTAGTCATCAAGGTAAAGGAAAGTCAACTTTACTTGATTGAAAAAGTTGTTAGTTCAAAAGAGCTATCAACCTCTCTCAGATTTTTATGCGAAAGTAGTTGGTCAAGAAATGCAATGTCTTAAGCTCACCTCCACAAAAACACACCTGAAAATATAGGACAAGACAATAAGAACTGCTGTAGCAACATGATGACTCATTGAAACCCCAAAGTCCGATCGTCTTGTTTCCCAGAATATAAGTGCAAATATCGAATATGCATAAAATCCACCGGCATACATATAATGTGCCTTTAGCTTTGACCTAAATTTACACAAGACAGTCACTCAAATAATCAGTTAGCGTGAACAAAAAAGATGCAATCAAAGCATGGAAATCGAATTAGCCAATAGCGCATGAAAATCTTATGATATATCATAATAAATGACAACAACTAATAGATTTTGTAAAGCAAAGAATCACAATTGTTTCCCTGAAAACCGTAGGAATTTCTTACCTGTCACAAAATCAGTAAACTTTTGACAAATAATTTCTTAAGAAATCACAACTCCAACTACCCATCTCTCCACCTCACAAAAGAAAAAGATACACGAACCAGTTAAAAGCTCAACAGAACAGAAACATCTTACTTATATTTCTGCTCGGGCCAGACCTGATCTCCAGGCCCTACCCAATAGTATCTGGTTGATTTCAACCAAGGCTCGTTATAGGTCACTGAAAGTGCGAAAACTTCTGCTGATAGAAAATACATACATTTCCATGCTGATTCTTTGAATTTCCGTAACCTTTTTCTCCGTCTATCTGTCTCATTTTCCAGCACCAACTTTCTTTTTCCAAATATTAATCTTCTAGCCACTTTCTGCAACATGTACAACCATTCTATATTAAGGAAATTATCATCAAAGAAGTGTAAGACAGTGTAGGAATACAGACTTAGAGTAACAAATGAATTCTTGTGCAGCAGGGTGGACTCAGATTATTCTGCATATCCTTTACTTAAAACTTAAGCATGAAGGCCACCATGTTACATTTTCGCACGGTTATGAGTTCAATCATATTTTAGTAGTCAAACTCTTTAGGAATTTTAGAATATGAACATGATACATAAAGAATTTCCAGAGTTAGGCCCTTTTTCTCATGAACATATTTGCCTCTGTTTCAACCAAAATCTATAGTCCTTCAGTCACTGTAAGGTGTCATCAAACAAGTTGGAATCGGCTATATGACACTTATAAGTATAGATGCTCTACATTCTCTACTGATATACATATCTCTAAACAAACTATAACATCAGACCTAATGTAAGAATTATTAGAAAAGAGAAAAGAAAAGAAATAAGCCAAAAACCGAGTGCTTACATCAAATCAAAGAAGGAAAAATGTGTTTTCCTTAACCCACATTTATCACTTTACTTCAATTTTTAACTTCTAATGTTAAATAGTTTGGTTTGGTGTAAACACTATAAGCGCATAAGTTTTTACTTGAGGTGACCTCGGTCAAATGTCCAATGACGAACATAGAAATCGAGTAAGTTAAATTTCAGATCCAACCACTCCAGAATCACCACAACAAACAAAATCCGTAAAAGAATTACTAAATATGTTGAGAAAAAGGACATGTATAGCATATTTGGCCAAAAAAAAGTACTTTTAGATATTACTTAGCATTTTGTGTTTGACTAATAAACTTGAAAAACACTTTTGCCAATATTAGAGCGGTAATTTGTGCTTGTCTTCCAAAGGCGTTTTCAGATAAAAAACTACTTAAAATAGCTTCTGCTACTGCTCAAAAGCAAGCAATATTTTTTTTGCCTAAAAGCTTGCCAAACACATCAACTCTAAAAAATCATTTTTTTCAAAATAAATAAGTGCTTTTAGGTTCCTAGGTGCTATTAGGATCAAGAAACCTCTTTTTAATTTCCAAACTTCATTTGTACACGACTAACCCAGAACATTCAAAGAAATTACTATCAAGGAGAAAAATGACAACTTTGAAAGAAGTACATACCTCAAATAAGAATTTATCGAGAAAATATCTGACAGTGGGAAAGAAAAGGGCAAACAAAGGAAGCACAATGAAATCTTCATATTGTGGGTAGGATTCTTCTTCCCAATCAATAAAATTCTCCATTGCCTGAATTTTAAAAAAGATGCAATGTTTACATGAGAATATGTGTATTTGTGTATGTGAGAAGAGAACATATATGTACCTGTGTTTCAACTGTGGTACAGGTACTGTAGCCGCCAGTTTGCAGATATGCCCACGTTGGCTTTGAATTTTGTCGCCTAACTTAAAAATGGCTTCCTACTAGTCAAAGAATTCTTTTGGTTTAGGCTTATAATAATCAATAGCTTATTTTTCTTTTTGGCCGTTTTAAAAAGAATATTATAACTTTCTAAATTTGCAAAAAGAAATTTACTTAAACTTCCCTTTCATCCAAAAGTGACAAAAAAATTATACCGATACAAATATTATGAAATATTTAAAAATATAAGTCCAGAAGTTTTATAGGAATAACACATAAATATTGAACCAGATGCAGTTAGTATTTTTTATAAAACGTCTAAATTATGAGTTGCAAAAATTATCATTTGTTTCTAAAAAATTCATGAGAAAAGTCTTATAACACATGTCTAAATTATGAGTCACAAAAATTATCTTTTGTTTCTTAAATTTTCAAATTCAATCAAATCAAACTATGTCATAGGGATTGAAACGGATGGAGTTAGCATTTCTTGTATATGACTTAGGACAGAAATAAGAGACAAATTTAATTAATTCATACGAGTAAGAATTGATAACACCACTCTAGTACAACTCAAATAAACAATAAAGAAACCATAGTGTAGGCTTAAGTCAAAGATGATTGAATATGCAAGGAATCGAGATATCATTAGTCGAGGTAGATTCTAACTAATCCAAGTGGCCAGATTGACGAATATCAGTGATTAAGACGCTGTGGATATTGGTTGACGAATATTAGTGATTAAGACATTGTAAATTGGTTTGTTTAACAAAGTGGTCGCTTTTACGCCGTCCACCTATTCGAATATTTTGACACTTCTTAGTTAATTAGGTTCAAAACATCCTCAAATTAATATGTAGTATTCTAGCTGGTTTTAAAGCGTTGAAGAAAGATAGGACATTCTAAAGATAGTTGTTGAGGAAGCTATCTGATTTCTAAGTTTGTGCAAAGTCGATGACTATCAAACAAGGGCAACATGAATTTGGGGAGATCAAATAATTTTTTGATCTAAATCATGTATTTGTTTGGGAAAAGTTCATTTAATATATAAAAATTATAAATTTAGAATTCAATAATTCAAAAAGACTAAGATTCAGATCTAATGTACGTGATCTTGTACAATCAAGTTTTAAAGAGAAAACTGTAGATGATGAGAAAAGATAAAAAAAAAATATTAGAACAAAAATAGGGCATCTCTCGGGTGGTTGCTCCTATTATTATTATTATTGATGGAACTTGAAAACCATGTTCAAGAAAGTATTCGTTCCCTTTGTGCAAACTGCAAAATAAGTATAGAACATCACGTATGCTGTAATTTACATCAGACTCGAAAAGAACATGCAAATAGTTTGTTATAACTTCAGTTGTGAGAAGTTAAATTTCCTTTTTCTTACATTTATTACAACCTATTTGGTTGCGTGTCATTTTCACCAAACCTAGCCATCATAATCAGATTCCAAAATGTAGACTTACTCAACAACATTCAAATTGGTTACTCGGATAATATAAATCAGATTGTGTATAATGATAGACAACTAAATGATTTCATCAAGATTCTAATTCATCAACTTGATATTTTCAAAGTATGTTAGGTGCGCTTGCAAATTTAATTCATTCCATCTTACGGAATAACTGCACGATTGAATTGCATGGTGTGTTGGGTTAAAATATCTAAGATACTTTTAAGGGAGGTTATCATAATTACCTATGAATTCTGAAAATATTCCATAATCTACAACTTGTAATAGAATAACATATTCTACAACAAATATATAAAACTTATACTCTAAAAAGGTAACTTTCCTAATAAAGGAGAATTCTACTTTGAAACATATCCCATAATTAGCTCATAATAATTCTTCAATTTATTAACTATTGATTATTTCTATAAATATATTAGGTTACCATTATAACACTATCTCATACACACTACATCCTCCATAAAAATAGGAACTCCATAAAAATACGTTGCATAATTTCGGATGAAAGTTTTTCTCCATTCTGTCATCCTTTCATCATCTATACAGTTTTAATAATACAAATATTATATGCTAGTATACAATATACAAAACAT